GGGTTACCCCTCGGTCTCATTTCTTGCTGGATGTATGCTTGCACATGTACATGTACCCTTAACTCAAAGAAAATTAAACTCGCACAATTTCCTTGTACGAAAATTCTGGAATAATTCACATGTTTGAAGAACACTAGACTGCCAGGCTTGTAATGGTATCAATGCTGCAAGACTGACGTTAAAGCCACTGGCTTTGGTCAACCCAGTCCAGTGGGTATGTGGAACCCTGGATGTATACACATATGTACAGTGCTTTGCAGTGTACTTGTGTCTTCTAAATGACAATTCTTTCAACACATTTTTACATCTGGTTTTGTTTTTCTTATGTTTCAGTTCCATTCACGATTGTATTCATTTTCCCCTGACTTTTGAAAACATTCCAATTGTAAGTTTGCTGTTTGCATATTTTGACATTCATATAGGTGCTTGTATTTGACAGATGTAAATTATTCAAAGGACCCTCCAGGATAGCTTATTTGAATTCTTTAAAGACGGTATTTGTACTGTTTCATAATTACATGTACTGTTATTTTATAGTGAATTACAAATCAGTCTGCTCAATGGCCAAATAACATGCACTGCCACTTTGACAGTGGCCAGGTATGTAGTATTATTAATTATTTGAGACATGGCTCATCTAGTTCTTTTTTCAAAGTTTTCCAGGATTTTAACTTCTTAAATTACAAGTTTGAAGACAAAAAAATATATATTTACGGAATCTGGTTGTAAATGCAAAACTTGCATTCGGACAGAAAAGGCAGAGCTCTATTTATACCGTACAATATTAAGTGTAGTCTTGGTTTCAAGACGTTTGTGCTTAGTAGCGGACACCGTGCATAGTGCACCCCAACGACTCATAATTAGACTGTGCGTCAGCTTGGACTAACGTCTTGGGAATCTTGCAGCAGCGGTTTAACTAGTCTTGGTTTCGAGGCTTGATAGCGGACACCGTGCATACATAGTGCACCCCTAACGACTCATAATTAGACTGTGCGCCAGCTCGCAATAAGTAAGTAAAAACTAGTTGTGCGCGGGCGCTCTTCAACAGAAATAAAACAACCATCGATTACTGACGTCTTGGGCCAAGACTATATAAAGTGCATGATGAAATTTACATAAAATCTCCATTATCCTGTTTCTGGTTTAAGTTCTTTAATTCTGCCTCGCTAAATTGTGAAGTTAGCCTGTTGCAACTGCTTGCTGAATGCATTGATCTGAAACATACAGATCAAAAGGTTAAATAGCCTGATGCGTTGATCATCGCAGATCTTTCTCAAAGGAGACATTTTCCTAAGAATGGGAGGCCCTATATGTAGCCCATCCCCGCCCCATGCCACGCACCCTCTGGCTTCCAGTTATGTGTCCCAGAGGCTGTAACACCTTATCGTATCATTATGCACAGAAGTAAAAGTTCATAGTTTGCCAAATTAATCGTGTTGTAATCGGCCGAGTAACATGCTTAATTCTTGTTTTCATTCTAACTTGAACAGAATAAACAAGCACACTTGTCTTGTCTCAATGAATTTTTGATTTGGATTCGTAGATTTAATTTAAATGGCTTGAAGTCTCGGTCTCAGTATGAAGAGGACCAGATAAAGGGCACGAAATAAGACTGAGGGGTACCCCCCTGAAGTCGAATCCCTATACACACTCCAGCCTATTGTTACTCAACACATCCCCCCAGATGTCTGAAAAGAACTCTCGAGATACCAGTATAACAATGACCAACACAAAGGCGGGGGGGGGGCTCTGTCCCATAGGTTTGCATCAAAGGGTTTCGATGAGTAACCCAGCACTGAAAACACTTTTCACCGCATCTTTTTGCACACCCATCATTTTCACATGGCACGGGGCTCCTTAAAACATACATGTAATGTCGAATGGTAGAACTTTTGCATTAGCATATTTCTGGTGCTTAACGACTCCGTGGAAAACTGACGTTCCCACTGCATCATAGGTCCAGATGACAATGTACACTAGTCGCGCTTAAAATATGTGGCAGTGCATCGATTGATTTTTTAAAGAATGATTCCCAACTTACAAACAGATTCCCTGTCTATTGTGTAAAATGTGGCATTTGAAAGTCAAAGCTTTCAAGAATAAACCATGATTTTCAAATTTCTGCTAAGTGTACCACGCTCCAGCTGATGTGATCAGTCAGGTTTAGACACAAGTATAAACCATGAAACTGATTATCTCTCGTGACTTGTTTATAAAAGGGACCTCAAACTTTTTTCCGATAAGCTTCTAAACGGCTTTTAAAACCTATGTTTCATAACAACCATGTGAAACGACAGCTGTTTTCAGAGTATTCCATACGAAATTAAATGTTGATTTCACCAGTTGATCGCCCTACGTGTTTTGTACACAATGCCATTGCCCTTTATAACAATCTTCAGAACATGTTGAGACGTTTATCACATACATTGGTCTCAGTTTCATTTTTTCCCTCTCGCTAGCCCTCTCTAGTCGCAGAGAGCGTTCGAGTAAATCGTTTACAGTGACGACAGTGATTTTCAGCGGACCTCTTCGATCCACCATCGTTGATATTGTTCAATTTCCGAAACAGGCACTGTTGCTGTTGAGCCTGAACGTGGCGCACGAATGCCTTTGCCCAAACCCAAATTTAAGACTATATATAATACTCCTTTTATGCACATGTCTCCCCTCTGCTCTCTGCGATTTATACCGGTATTTAGTAGTTTGACATTTTTACGCAAAAGTGGAGAGGCCTAAAAAGACAGCAATCTTCAGAGAACGATCGTGTGAAATGTGACTTTGAGCGCAAGGGATCTTTAAGAGTGAGCTCAAGCACCCATGGGGTCCAAAACACACCTACTTCGAGCTGGACACACATTTACTGGTGAGGTGCATATTTTAATTACAGTAATATGAGTGGATAATGATATAACACAGTGTACAACGCAGCTACTGACAAATCAATGTATTTTAGACTCCTGTTCGTCTGGCCAAAGACTGCCCAAATCGCATAAGTTATAGTGAAACACTGGGCAGTAATAAACAAACCAATTTGTTCTACCCATTTTCACAGTTTGCCCCTGGGTGGGTTGAGAAGCAGATGGAGCAAAGTGACTTTCTCAGAGATACGAGCACCACAGTCTGACACTGTCGTATGAAGTCTTAACACGACTAAGTGTACAAGTCCAAGCCACAAATCAGTCGACTTTGTGCCGGTGTTAGAATCCCCTGTCGGTGCATTCAGAGTACCTGTGTTTCTCCTCGACCACCTTGTACACATGGACCAGCTCCGTGGGCTCGATGTCGAAGACGAACATCATGTGCCGGTAGTGGCAAAAGTTCTTCGGCTTCTTGAGCAAGACGAAGTGGTCGTCGTTGGTGATGGGCGCGCCCACGTAGTTGGCTAGGACGCCCACGTAGGCGTCCTCCATTGCGATAGGGGTGACCGAGCCGAAATGGGGCACCATCCTCTGGACGACATCCATGGAGAGCATGTAGAGCGGTCCTCGGGCCAGATTGGGGAACACGTTGCCCGGGTAGTCTTGGTTGGGCACATACAGCGGGTCCTGCGTGTCACGGATCGGGCGGTCCTCCCGGAGCATCTTCCCTACGTACAGGTTCGACGCCATTTTCAGCTTGTCCTGGATCCACGGCACAATCAAGGGCAGGTTGATGTAAACCCTGATGTTGGTCTTGAAGACGTAGAGGGGCCGGCAGGAATCGGGGATGTCTTTGTCCGACCACTGGAACCCCAGCATGACCTTCCGGGTCACCTCGGACGACAGGTCGTCGAACTCGCCCTGGAGGATGTCCCCGTAGTTGTTCGACTCCCGCTCGATCTGGTCGTCCTTGGCAGCAGTCCGCCCCATGACGAAGACGGCCCTCCAACTCAAGGCCAGCGACTTCGCCTCGGCTATTCCGTTGGGGGCCCCCCACGTGCGTCGGACGGCCGTCCTCGCCAAGACCTCGTTGGGCAAACACACGACAAGGAACAGAACGTAGGGCTTGTCTGGACACAGCAAGTTCGGCTTACGAATCACGTTCACCGGGAACTCCTTGGGCTTCGGCGGGGGATCACGAGGCAACTCGGGCTTCTTTCTGTTGGCGTCAGGAGCCTGTGGCAGAGGCTTCCGACCCGGTGGGGGAGGGATCTTCGGAAAGGCTAGAGCTTTGCCCACGGCCTCATCTTGACCGGCGACATTCGGCCGCTGCACATGAGGAAAGTTCACTTCATCAGCTACATTCAGGCCACGCGGGTCGTCCGCTGGAACCAAGATGTGCTGGAATTTCGGATTTTTGGCTCGCTCGTCGATGCTATCCGCCGAACCCCCTCCCTTGGCTCTGCTCATCAAGTACACGATGAGCACAGCGGCCAAGATGATAACGGCCAGAGCAAGCGAGGTTGGCCTGCCAGTCAGCGGGTTGATGAAGGACGGCACCCGGCCACGTCGCTTCTTACCTTTCCCGTTGCTCATGTCGGTGGGTTGAACGGTCGCCGATGAAGCGACCAACACCTTCCCCTTTCCTGGCGCGTGTGTGCTGTCTGGTTCCCCCGACATTGAAACCTCGTAGGCGGCGAAATGCCGTTTAGTTATAAAGTCTGCAGTAACCATTCTGACTCATTGGTGGAAAAAAAAAACCCGCCCGGAGCAGATTTCAGTTTCCAAGCAAATATTTGCTGTAGTCCTTCATTAATAACTCTGACAAAACAGCTGTATATGTGAAACGTTGCAGACTTAATTTATAAAGTAGCATCGATCACGCTCCGAACTCGTGGCTCACGTCAGTGCGCAGAAATATGCAGAAATCTCAGCTATTTTAATACTTATTATGAAGTTCAAAGAATCGATATCATGTAAATGACGAGATGAACATCTGCTATAACTCGACGTAGCGCCAACTGATTGGTCAAAAGATCGATCGATGTGCCACGGATGCCGCGCTTACAGCTGTAGGTCTAAATACATGTTGAAGTGAAAAACCTTGTTATGAAACGGACGTTACGTGTGTCAAATTGGCTATGGTATTTCGTGGGCTATTGAACCCCCCCCCACTTTTTGTAGTGAGCAAAATAAAAAAAATTGAAGCGGATTGTGAAGCATTTTCCGGCCTCCCCAACGACTAAAATGCGCTCAACATTACTCAAAAAGGGAATAACAATTTAAAAGCCATAAATATGCCATTCTGATTAAGATTCTGTGTGAATGTAATACATGTTACAGATGTACATGAGTATCATGAACATCGACCTTTATATAGCGTCACACGGCGTCCGCCCCCTCCCCCGTCGTTTTTCAAACTTCCATGGCTAGGCAAGTCTCTCCCCCGACCATTAAATCATATGGATGGCGTAACTGGATTTCTATTAATTAGAAGGGTTCCGCTGTGATAAATTCGTCGGCTTTTCTCCACAACCCGAGCAAAACTAACATTTGATTCACTTCCTTTCCTTCCAAGGCAAAACTCTCGCACAGGTTTTGTTGTCAAAGGTCTTCTAAGTTCTCAAGATAACAGCGAAGGAGAAACACACAAGGACATTTTCAACGTAATGTACATGATGTCTTTGGCATTTTCTTTTACGGTTACCGAAGTAATAAAAGCCTGTAAAAACTTGGAAAACCAGACTCAAATGTCAATATTGAAAAATATCTGAAACGTTCAAGGGGTACAAGGCGTCTCTTCTCGTTAAATTCAAGAAGCAAAGGAAACTTGTCATCTCTGAATTCTCTCAGTCACTGATTGAAAAAGAGATTTTTTTGGGTGGTTTGATAATGAATACAATTGCTAACTTTGCATGACGGGTGATTCAATTTAAAAATGAAACTTTTTTTCAAAGTTTTGCAACATATTATAGGTTGTACTGTACAGTTTACAGTAACGTTTGTCTTTTTTGATCAAACAATAGAAAATCTTGGGAAACATCATTATTTCAGTTCATTTGAGGCACTTGTACATGTATGTTCTTCCATTGTGAAAGTGAAAATGTAAACTTCAGCAATGTGTCTTTTCTACAAGCATAACCACTACAGCTAACACAAACATTCACCGATTGGCCCATTTCAATTTAAGTACTGATTAAAAATGTTTACCAGTCACTTTGATTGTAAACCTTTCACAAACTTCAAATTTGCGTTACTGAATGAACAATTATTTGATGAACATTTGAAATTTTGGTATTAACCCTGACTTTGAACGTTAGAGATGGATCACATTTGTATGTTTTTTTTTACACACTTCAACAGTAACCCTTGCTGGAGAGACTTTCTCGTTATACGTTTTCCTCAATCCTCCACAAGCCAGCGCTTTGTTCTTAAATCAGTGAGGGAGTCTTTGCAGAGAACCTTTATGATGAAAGGATTATAAAACCAAACATTTTGGGGGAACAACAGTCAGAAGAACTCATATACCATCCCAGAAGAGTGGCGTATCCAGCTTTTGGTGCCGGGGGGGGGGGAATTCAAAGGCGAATGGGGCTTCGGGCTTAGTCAACATGATGTTGGGGGAGAAAAATGCCAAAAGCCTCACTCCCGGTCCCGACATCCTTGCTTTAATTTGCTGGTGTTGTTTTCTTTGGGCTCTGGTGCTAATATTGAATAAATAAATACAATGATTACTTTTCTTTCCTACTCACCTATTGGAGTGTCATTTGCAAAAAAAAAAATATTTGTGGGAAGGGGTAGTTTCCCCCCTTTGGATACGCCACTTTCCCAGAGTAATGAACAAGAATGACTGAAAAAAAAATCTGGCAGAGAACTTGGTACTCAGAGAGTAATCAACGACCACGCGGAACAGTAAAGACGCTTTTGCACAGTTTCTGCCACTACTGACAGACTCTGAAGTAGTCAGCTCAGAAAAGGGAAAAACCATTCAATGACTGCCCGACGTGATATTCCATCCGACATATCTGCCGTTTTAGGGTCATTCCATGAGGTTGGGGCACAATTCGTGACGCCGTCCTTGTTACATGGGTAACTTTTACCACCTGTCATGACCTGTAGAGTAGGTCATTTACTCTGTAAAAATAACATACACCTCTGTATTCAGTCTTGAAAGATAACAATGTCAGTTTGGAATCCACATGCAGGGAAATAGCTCTTCATTTTTACCGAACCCACGTAACAATGGACACCGTCACAAATTGTGCCCCAACCTCACGGAATGACTCTTTCGTGTAAATGTTCTATATCATTCCTCTCATAGCTGGGCCAATGTGCTTGACTTTGGACACAAAACCCTTTCTTGTCAATAGGAATACCTTTTCTCTCCGCTGTGACACGAGCTGTACCTGAGTTAATTTAAACAAATAAAAACCTGACTTTATAGAGCAATAACTTATTTGTGACACTAATCGCAGTACTGGTACGTACATAGAATCTCTGAACCCAAGGCATACACAATCAACATAAAGAAAATATAAAGACTCTTATATAAAAATAAAGTATCAATCTCAAAACATACCACGTAATCATATATATCCATGCAACCCAGAAAGCAGTCTTTTTTTCCTATAAAATGTGAGATGATATACCGCACAGTGGTGAACAACCGAAAATATTGAACAAAAACTGGCAGATCAGTTTCCTAACAGGGATTTGAAGGGCCACAAACAAAAACAAGCTGAAAATGGTTAGCAGAAAGCTGAAATTTGAAAAGTTCCCCTCATTATGTACAGAGCAGGTGTACAAACACTGAAATTCACAGGAACAATCTGAAACCCCCAAAAGTCCCCGAAATCAGCTGAGCTCTCACCTAACGAGTCTTCAACAGATCAAACCAGGACTGAGGACTTGGCAGTCTGTCCTTACAACTTTTTGAGATTTTTGAGAATTTTTGTGAGCCTTGATACCCTGTATAACCCCAGGATTGGTTGGGGGCTAGGATTGGCTGAGCCAATCACAGCCAGAGTTGCCACTCTGGAATGCCAGAGGGGATGACTTCACACCCGTCATCAATGACAAATGTAAATTTTTAACCCAGGTGTGACCCCTCATCGCACGACCTTTCAACCTTGTCTTTTGTTTGGCTGCATCATGCAAAGTAAATGGCATTCTTCACAATAAGAACATATGCACCGCAAACTGTCTCACCGGCCTTTGAACTGAAACTTGGTAGAGGTCAAAGGTCATCTCCTAGGTCATGAGGGGATTCCGTGGCACTGAGCCAACTTAGTGAGGGCACTGGTCAACTGCACTATTCCATTCTTTAGCAACTGTCGGTTGCTGAAGACCGTGACAAACTTTTGTAGGGTCAGCGTCGTCAGGCCGTTAAATCTCTCCTTTTCTTGCTGAGATAAAACAAAATAAGTAAGCAAACCAAATTAATACATCAAAAGCAAATCAACAGATCAAAAGCAAGTCAAGATATCCAAAACAAATCAACAGATCAAATCAAGTAAATCACACACCAAAAGCAAAGTAATACATCAAATCAAGTAAATCACACACCAAAAGCAAATCAATAGATCAAATCGAGTAAATCATGCACCAAAAGCAATCAATACATCAAATTAAGTAAATCACACACAAGAAACAAATCAATAGATCAAATCAATACACCACAAGAAAATCAAACAGATCAGATAATAAATATCAATACATCAAAAGCAAATAAACGAATCAAATCATGCAAATCAATACACCAAGAGCAAATCAATAGATCAAACCATAAACTGCAAATACAATAAATAAATTGCATACACTTACTGCCACGAACTCCCGAAGGAAGACATAGATAGTTTGAAGAAGCCTCTGAAATGGCACTGGCGTCTCCATGACACAGCTGTCGGGGATTTCTGTCACCCTGTAAAACAGAAAATGTGACATTTATTAGTGCAATGTATAGTATAAAGGTGGTGCCGTTGTAACTTCCTTCATTTCGACCTTTGCATAATTCTGAATCCCAGCTAGGGGTGTGCTTCATGGCTTGAATCGTGTCATTGTTTGGACGGACATAAGAGTCTGAATGGAGCTATTTTTTAAAATGGTGGAAGCCTGGAAGGAATCAGATATTTTGAAAATATTATGCAGCTGCATCTTTCACAATTCAGCCTTGGGACTGTAAGGTCGATTGGCTCCCTAAACCAAACGAAATCAAATGGAACTGAATCAATTTGAATCAAATCAAATCAAATCAAATCACACAAGATCAAACACAAATCCAGTCAAACCGAATCAAACCTTGCTTTCCTTGATACCATCACGAATGTTACGACACTCAAACTATGCTGTCCTTACCTTTCCAATGCTTTGATAATCTGCTGCAGGAGTGGGCACAGGATGTCCAGGCAGGCGTGGCATTCCAGCGCTGAGGGGATGACACAAGTCTTGTCCATGTCAAGATCGTGGGGGACACCAAGACCTTCAAAGATCAATGCGCTGTCAAAAGAGGACAACGAGAGACTAAGAGACAAGACTTTTTAAATAGGGGTCGATTTCACACAGTTGCCCAGATGCTCAGCAAATCTTAACCACTTCGCGCCGGGGCATTTTTCAACGTTGATGAAGCTGGGCCGGCATGACTATTATTTTTTCCGTTTTCAAAATCCTTAAAAAATTCATCATTCCATTTAACGGTCGTTTATAGCCACACGAAGTANTAAACAGAGCCCAGATTGTACAGTGTTATACAACTGTCTTTTGTTCACGAACCTGGCTCAGTGCACTGCTGACCTCTTTTCAATAGGAGCCAGATTAGCGTGCAGCGGTGCTGTGTGGCTCATCGCTGCGGTGGAGCGCTTTTGTCCCCGGCGGTAATCCGCTTGCTCTCAATGCCCCAAACCCTGGTATACGGTTTCAAAACAACGCTGGATTATCACAACTTTTGAGAGTGAAAAATGCCGGTAATGCCCATAAGCCTGGTCTTTTGTTCGGAGTACGGTCTTTTGTTACAGGGCCCTGTTTCCTTTGTCCGATTTCGGAGTCCCCGGCTGGTAGTGGTTAATATGCCTAGACACTGATTATCTGAGAATCAATCACAAGAAATGTTTAGTGCATGACATTTTAGCTGATACCCTGCTTTTTGCTCTGCAACTATTTTTATGGCCAGTACGTTTCCTTTCCAAGCATCTGTGAAGTTGCCTCCAGCTGATCAGACGAATGGTAACAACTTTTGTTTTCACACATGGTTCACTCATTAAATGCCTTTAACAATGCAAATGGTGCACAACCAATACTTGTTTGCATGTGTACAAAATTTGCAGCAACTGAAGTGTCTCCACCAGCCATGGTGCTCTTTATTTGATCCGTAAGAAACCAAATTTTCTGAGGAGGAAAAAATTCTGAAGAATGTCACGGCCGAGGTGTCAAAACTCATACCAGGTTTTAGTTAGAAACAAACTGTTAGGGCACGGCGGAAATACGGGGGTAACACTTCACGCCCCAACCCTCCGAAGTACAATTCTTGTTACTGTGATTATACTACATTCTGGTGGCCCACTGACTACCGGCTCACCTCAACTGGCAGATTTTCATCCAAACCACTTCAAAGACAACGGGGACAATCTTGGTGGCCTCGCTGAGTTTCAGCGCTGGCTCCTCGCTGGGCAAAGCTCGAGAGGGAGCCAGCATCCCCTCCGAGGACGGAACCAGGCAGTGCTTCTTGATCTCCCCTAATCTCAGAATGGGTTGTTCCAGGGCGTTGCCGTACCTTCACAACATTGAAAAAATGTTTTTGATTTCCGAAACTGATACTGTGGACAATCTAATAAAGTCTGCAGAATTCAGTACAGTGCCTATATTTCAGTGTAGGATTGAAATTGTTCAACATCTGAAAGTCAAACAAAAATTCTAGACACTGCAATTGGATATCTAATTGAAAGAAGGGCCCTACTCTAACAGGAGTTGCAAAGGAAATCAATTAACTGTCCTGGGCCAATATGGTGGAGCTGGGCCTTTTTTAATGAGATATTCAATTTCTATTTTCATTTAATTTTGTTTTTGTTGGGATTGCAGGATTTAGCTGTTTTTTTATTGTGCAGAACAGTGAGTTTTTTTATGAGGCTTCAAGTACATCTGACAGTTTGCAGTACCATGTACAAAAATGAACAGGTAACAGAAAGTGAGACGTAAGTCCTTTTTTTAAAAGCTCTCTCCCTGAAAGATAGTCTAGTTTCATTTTGGTCCCTTTTTAGTTTGGATATATATGATTGATGCACACACAATGATGACTTTATGATGCTTCAAATGAATGTAAGTTAGTGCAGTAATGCAAGTTGAACCAATGAGGGCCAGATAGTCAATCATAGGACGTGTGTCGTCAACCATTCAATCAGTGGATCTTCCATGCTTCTACGTTTATGGAAATGCTTCACCTTGTTTTTTTTCAGAACCTCAACCTTTGCCCCACTTGGCTCTCAGAGACTTGGTCGTAAACCACCTTCAGTGTTTTCCTCTACAAAGCCCCAAAAGATTCACCTCACCTTTTCTGATTGTGCAGTCTCCGACAGAAATAAACGCTGCTGTTGATGAGTCGCTTGACACTGTCCAATGACGTGTTGATGGCTGCGGAACGAACAAAGAGCATTTTTTAGGGGAGGGGAGTCTATTGGCAAAGTAGTTCTTTCCTCGCCTTTCACCTCTGCAGTCCAGGCTCAATTCCCGGCTCGGTTCACATGTGGATTGGGTTTTCAGTCCCTACCTGAGTCCATGGGTTTTACCCAGGATATTCCCCTGGGGTTTTCCTCCCACCTCTAAAACGGTAACCGCTTCTTCTCCTCTCTGTAGACATAACTGGATGTGGGTTGTTTGGCAGCTGCCTGAGGGACCCTTGTATGCCATTGGCTCGACCACGTTTAATGTCTTCATTGTACAGCGCATTTGAACATATCTATGTGAAATTTGCACTTTATGAATGAATAAATTGTGAAATTGTTAGATTTTTGCTCAGCAAAGACTACTTTTCAAGGGCGAGTTGGTAGGGACATTTGAGGTGATTTAAAAAGAGAATTTTACCGCTTGTCAGTTCCACGATTTGCTGAAAGTGGCGACTGTCTTCTTTGTTCAGGAAAAGGCCGAATAGGGCGATCCAGTGCCTGGATTGTAGAGGAGACAGCAGGATTGACCATTAAATTGAACAAAGTACTACAGACTCTAAAGGATGTTGGAAGCCGGACGATGATATGGAGATCAGCACCGAATTTCTTACAGTTGAGATAGAATTGGACCACGGCCATTGCACTCAATGAAACCTCTCAATTCAACCCCTTTTACAGGTGACCTGAAAATCTCACCAGCATTGGTCATGCTTCAGCTGTCTAACAGTAACCGGCAAACTTTATAATTCAATATGATGACAGTATGACATTTGGTACGTGTACTCAAGTGAATGAGTTGCAGCTAGTGTTTCATCTTTTAAATGGCTTCATATGCATAGGTCTACACACATATATGTGATCTGTCACCACAAAATGAGCTGAAAGTCTCAATTTTCAAAAATTGAGAAATTGGTATATTGAATTCAGTAGAAAAGAGCTTTCCAGTGGTATGTATAAGGAACGCTTACGGTAAAGCATAAAGTGACAAAGTGACATTATTCTGGCAGCTTTACGTCTTTGTTCCCGACATTTGTTTCAACATTTCAGACCTGGCACAAATAATGCTATTGTCAAAATTGCTGAGAAAATGACAGTTTTGAAATATATACGATCCTACAAAATATTAAGAATTTCAACAGGTGACAGGTTACTCTTTCCAAATGTCACAAAACCCCTAAAATTGACCTCCCCTTCAATATAACTTTGAACCCTCAAAATAGGAAAGAGCGAGATGCGACTTCACTCTTATTTTATCGTGACGGGTCACATAGGTAGGTCTTTGCATTTCTGACATCGTCGTCTTTTGTGCAAGTTTGCCACCGCAAACTGCAGAGACCAACCACTCGAAGAGCACACAGGCGCCCAGTTTGTTTGTTATGCCGTGTGCCAAATTTGCAAATGTGCTCTCTCCCATCTGGGCAATTTCATTGGCCTAATCGTAACATCATGTGATGACCGCTATTATCGTGCTCCTCTGTAAAACTCAGCTAGCACAGTTCAGCAATGGCCACTGATGCTTTGGAAGCAAGCACAAACCAACTGTAACCTGTCTTCACTTTTTCCTAGAGATCAAGTAAGTGTTAATAAAGTTGCCTCTTGTAATACAGCACCGTGCACTTGGATATCAAAATTTTGTAAGCTGTATGCCATCTCTTCCACTGTCTCAGACATAAAGAAGTGAGTGACATTCGACGAACCAGTCTCTTACTTTTCAAAGCACTGCACCAAATCTTGAAATGACCAAGGAGGTTTGACAATGACAATCTCCATCCTGCAAAAAAAACGAGAGATAAAAGTCTCACGAAACCACTAGCCTCCTTGGAAATCAGGCTGCGATAATTTTAAACCAAAATACGCACAAGAAAGGCAATTGCTCAATTCGGTGCTTTTGAGATGGCAGTGGACCGGCAAGACGTGTGACCCTGTTGTTAGGGTGTGTAGCTCCCAATCACAGGGTTGAGGGTTCGAAGCCAGTGACAGGCATTCACTGTGACCTCGGGCAAGCCACATAACCTTAACTGCTCCTCTCAAACAAGGTGAATCAATATGTAACCGTGGAGGCATAGAAGGCTTTTGTAGTTGATTAGCCATATGCATATGAAATGGCTGCACTTAGCTCTGCCAGTGAGCTGAGAGGGTTAACCCCTTCGCTACGGAGGACTGCTACTACCGCACCGTTGTTGAGGATTAGTGCATACCACGCATACAGTCTATTCACCATGCAGCTGCTGGTTCAATGGGACCTGCTGATGGACAAAGCTCTCCATTTAGGGCACACCACAGCCCAGCAGTCGCGGTCAAAATAATCCCGCTGTGAAGGGGTTCAGGAATGCTTATGGGCCCGGTGAGCTGGGGTAATAGTGTAAAAGTGCCCCAAGCAATCTGAAAACCCAATTTCATGACTGTTCCACAGGATTTCCAAGGACTATGGTATGACAATTTCTAGGACATTTAATGCCAATTGCCAAGCAAAGTTGTTTGCTATGAACTGGAAGAATGCCACAGCCACTACCATACAGCCTGGCAGGAACAGTCTGTGGCTATATCATCATTTCTGTTATTACATCAAAAGTGACCCATCAAAAACAACCCTTGCAAGATCTTGATTTCCATGACTTTTTTCCCTCTGATGTTCTTCCCTCTGACTGCAGGATTCCAGGGCACCCTTTTTCCCCCAAATTTCTTGGACAACTATTTATTCTGGGATTTTTTCACGACCATGGGAACCCCGGTTTTCACAGGATGAGAGCTTACCAAAGTTCATCGTAGGCTTCCTTCATTTCTGTCTCCATCACCGTGGTCAGGCCATGGAGGAGTGTTTCTTTCACTTGGCAAAGTAGCTCATCGCACTGAAATCATAATAACAGGGAGGACTCAAACGCAGCTCCATGCAACGTTAGAGGAAATCCAACTTAAGTTCCAACACAAACCCTGTGTAAGGTTCTCTTAACTCAAATGTTTTTCAAAACCAAACTTGGACAAGCACAATTTTCCTGACATTTTCAAATGCTCATGACAGACTGTCACTTCCTGTGATGTCAATCTGCCCAGAATGATATCACGGTTATCACGGAAAATGGAAATTTATGCATTTATGTAAATAAGCATTAAAAACCTCCAGGACGGCATTAAAAATGACGTTGTATACGCCATTTAATATTGCCCAATAAGTGGACAGAATTCTCTTCCCCAAACCTCTCCATTCACTATGCCAAGCTTAAAGTGTCCAGTTGCATTTCTTACTAGTTCCTTTTCTGCCTTGGCTGTGAGTGGAGGTTCTACAGGTGTCCTCGGTCGATGGGTCTCAACGACTGGTGGGTCGGGGGGATCTGGGGGCAGGGGCGGACGATGCTGCAAAACGCCAGCTAGTGCTTCCAGGCCAGACAGCAACGTCTGTGGTACGGGGAAGGAGAAACATGTGACTGGAACCCACAAAATGAGTCCCAAGGATATTTTCACCTAGTTGAGTTTGCGTGAGAAAGTGCAAATTGTGATCTCCATTTTGATGTATCGCTCTCTGACATCCTGATGAAAAATGGACTTAGCATAGATATCAGCAACTTGAAAAAAACCCTAAATGTGTCCAACTCAACTTCTGCAGTCATTCTGAGTATCAGGCTAGGATGTGTAAGATGCAGAGAAGGTCTGGTAACTCACCTCCTTGCTGAATGCCTTGATGCTGCTAATGACAGCCTTGCTGCACAGATGCTTGTCGTTGGTCAGCAGAACTGCAAGATCTTTACCAACTAGGAGAACGCAGAACACAAATAATTCATATTAATTTGCATGGATCCTGTGACAGGATATCAAATCCACCACATCACATTTTCAAATGATTAAGTTTGAAATTTCGCAGCATATAGTGGAGGTGCCACTCATGCAGCCCAAGTGGCGGCCATCTTGTTTCCATTCAACCCATCAAGAAAAGAAAGATGGCAGCCTCCGCTCCTCATTAAAAAAGTGAGTTTCTCGGTAATGGTAATCTGAAAGTGAATTTGACCTTTTTCTTGCACAACCGGGGATGAAAGAGTCTTCAAAATATGATGATGCTATGAATTTCAAGAGTGCATGTTCACACTGTGGGTGCATTTTTGACGTCGACCTAGTTTGTTGGCGCTAATCAGCACGACCCCACGTGAGTGGTTTTTCTCCCGACAACGGACCCCGAAAAGTCTTCATATAGGTGCAATGTACATGGCACCAACGGTGTCCAAGCGTTACATTCAGCTTCTCTCAGTCACCAGTGTAGGGGGATGGGCCGCAAGCTGAACCAAGAGAGGGCGCTATTTTCTGAGCAACGGCTCCTTTGGTTGGAACTGAACTTTGCTGGTTCACAAACGACTCGGAAATGCACGCATCGCAGTCACATCGCAACCAACAAATTGAACATTCCCGATCAATGCGGTTATTTTCGGCCGATGATGGTGTGCTTCTGCTTGAGATGGATACTGGCAAAGAACCACTAATTTTGCACAAATAATTCTCTCCACCTTACTCCAGATTAATCCTCAAAAAGTTGGAAGGGAATGGCATAATCCACACATGTGCATGCCAGTTCTTTACAAAAAATTAGGCAGGAATAGCCGTGTTCTTGGTGGGGGAACAGTGCCTCATCAAGCTACCTATCCACCTGTCCTCAGGACAAGCCAAATTTATTCCTCAGCACAGGCCGATTTGCTGGACCAAAACTTGAAAGCCCAAATTTTGGGCTACAGTGGAGAAAAAACTTTTATATTTCTATCCCAAGCACTGGGTACAATGGAAACAGCCTCAGAAAGCAGCAAGGATGCAAGGAAGTTTTTAACATTGCCTGGGAAAGGACGGGCAGATATTTTAATCCTACCGAAACCCCAGGGGTGGGGGGGGTGGCGGGTGTGGATTCTATTTAGGAATAGGACTGATGACCACTGGTTAAACATTTCCTGAGAAGGAGAGTCGCTTGTCTATGGAATACCTTTCTTTTGTTGCTGAAGACAGCACTGTAGAATCCAGTCGTCATTGCACGTGATCTCAAAATCTGCTTCATCAGAAGTCTGTGTGCAGTCAAGAGATGCGGGACAATAACTACAAAGCACTCGCCTGTTTCTTTGGATGGGGGGTAAATTTCATTGATCAAATCTCTTTAAGTCAGGTGGGAAAAAATTATATGTCTGGCTTAAAGTTTTCACATTTTGTGCAAAGATTGGATAATTTTGCTTCGCGGCGGTGGGTGTTAACAAGAAACCTTTTTTGAACAGTAATCTTCATTTTCTCATACATTTTCATGGAGAGAATGAAAAAACAGTTCTAGCAAAATTAAGAAATTAATTTTTCTGAATTTCAAAAGAATGTATGGATTGGCATGGCTTATGAGAAATAAACTAATCCCTTCCTCCCAGGAAAAAGTGGGGTCTGGGCAGATACTTGAAGGAGAGTGGTAAACCCTACTAGTTCTTCGTGGAACCTTTCCTTGAAAAACCCAATTTCACTAGCAAGATTAATATCAGCGTAGAATTAACTTGACAGGACTTGGAATGAGCTTTCTTGGGGAAAAAAAGAAACCAGTATGTCCACGCATGGCAAAGATGTGCATTATCAAAGCAAGGCAGCAAAATAGGGGAATGACTTATTTTTTTCTGTCAAACTTTTCAGAGTGAGTCAAATGTAGGATCAGCGATGCTAATCTTATGCGTGAACTAGCTGCTGGTCTTTACAAAACACAGAGAATTTGTTTTGAGTTCTTCCACCGACTGACCTTTCTCAGTGGTTCACCTTTGACCCTTGGGTGATCACTAATGACGCACTTGTGCAGAAATTGCACAGCGTTCCACGCCTGGCCACCTTTCGTGCTTGCATTCTAACAGATAATGACATGCCGGAGAAAAAAAATCTGGCATTATCAACCACACCTCCGGAGGCCTTATTCTGATTGGTCAAGACACGGACTGGACACTGCTTGAAATCTGCATTGGCCATTGCACAGAATCTAGATGTGAACCAGGCAAGTGTCACTAAGCTTGACATCTTTGTGAAAATGGACGCTGTACAAAAAGTAAGTGAAAACGTTGAGGGCTCCTACTAAATTAATTGGAGCAAGATTTTTCACAACCTTCGAGTTAAATAGAGGGTTGTTCAGGCAAGTTGCAGTTATCAAGTTATCACATAGAGGTATGTGTTCTTATGACCGAAAATGGGTCACTTGGGAGACATTCCCATAGGAACTTGCACAAAATTTTTCAAACTTTACCGTCCCATAATTCAATATTCCCTAATCTGATCTTAACCAAACTTTGCATGTTTTCCTTTCAGAGCCTAATCTATCATCTCTCAAAATGTGGACAATAAAGATTTTCCTCCTTTTGGTAGTTGGAGCATGAGGGAGACATTGAAATGTCTCCCTAATGACCGGTGTCTCCCTAATGTTGAAAAATTTACCACAAAATGTCTCCCTAGTGACCTATTTGGAAATATTACACTATATCTAGGGCACTGTCAAACAATTCCTACGTGTTGGATGCTTGAAATAGTCTCCTCCTATGAAACTGCAGACGCATGCGTGGCGTTATAATCAACTCCAGAAATTAAAGTGCAGAAATGCAACTTTATTGGCTTCTCTGTGTGGAGTTTCCATTACACTGAATAGAGTTTAATATCATACCTTCAAACTATCCAGTTCTTGCATGACGACCCACGGAATGACTAAGTGTGGTAGACCGAGTCCTGGATATGAACCAGACAAAGTGCAGGAAAATGTTCATTTTTAATCTCTATCCAGACTTGAAGACTGGCAGAGAAATCATTTGTGGACGGTTCTAAGTTGGTTACACTCAACAGGTGAGGAAAACACGGACACAAAAAGCTGTGTGATTTCGGGTTTTGTTTCTGAGCATTTGTCCAAAAGTTTCCTACCCCTTTCAGACAACTTACAATATTCACTGGGGAAATTTCAATTGGCTACATTTTAACAATAATCTGATATCGTTGTTTTATTTAGTTACCATGACATCCCTCACCTGGAATCCTTATATCCAGAAGGTTTTTCACAAACACCAGGTCATGCATCAGAACATTGGTGTCCAGAACAATACAGAGACCCAGCTGGGAAAAAAACAAACAAAATGAAATCAAATCTACACCAATGCCAGGTGCAGCCATGTATTTTTAGAACATCATATACAAAAGTATGGACTACAAATTGTTTAGGTATTCAGAAATTAACCCGTTTGTCGCTGTACAGCCCCAAACCACCTGGCACAGTCTGAAACTGATTGCGTACTCTGTGGTCCTTACCAATGAATGAATATCGTGGACCTTTCCCAGGAAATATGCAAATAAGGCAAGCGCTTGCATATTACTGCTAATGGTTGGCAAAGTTGCTTAAATCTCTGACGCAGCAATGTCCATGCACCTGCAACTGTGAGCACATACATACCGTTTCTGTACTAGCATAGTTTGACGTGAGTGCCAAACTCAAAAACAAGGAATTGTTCCCTTCCGTCCTCAGGACACTGAAAACTTCAATTGCTCAAGTATTGAACAAAGGCTGTAACGCGGTTTTAATTGACCTTCAAAGTGCCAGGTTACGGGTTTAAGCAGTTCTCCTACACCGCCGACAGTCTTGATGGCAACGCTCGCCAACCTGTCTCATTTGCATATTTCATTGGACAGGTCCACTGCACAAGTATGCAGTCAGGTATTATTCAACAGAGAGTATATTTCATCAGACACAGCTGTGTTATGTTGAGCATTGCCGTATCTCTTTCTATCTCTCTTAGGGAGTATCATATTAACAACTGTGCTGTCCAACAACTGTACCTCACTGGTTTCCCGTGCATAAATGTGAGTAAACCAACTGTAGTGATGAGGACAGCACAGAAGAGCTTGTGTCATGTGCCTGGTAAAAAACTGTACGCACACTGAAGCTGTGCAGAATTCCGCTTCATGTACAAAGCACATGCCTAAGAGCGACTGTTGGCATGGGTGCATATTTGAGCTATGAAAGCATAGGTTTGAAAGCAGAAAATACGGATGCATGAAGATAGGGTGCTCTGAATTTCTCGTTTGGCTTTAGAAACCTGGAGCCTAGACAAGGAAGGAACTGCCTGTATATAACCCTTTGTCAACAAAACAACAAAATCTACCAGAATAAAGTCAACGGAAATTCTGCTGGAATTGAAAAGTCCTGTACTCTAACTTTCACAATTTGTAGATTTCAGGTGAATCTCAGGGTAGCTTTTTATGTCTTGTGGAAGACTGACTTCATATTGTAACTGAGGTACATGTACTTACATAAAATACATGAGCTGGATTTGAACCCTAAATGGAGGCCATAAAAACGGTCAAGGGGGAATTACGTTGCATGGTTGATAATAAAAAACCTCAGAAAACATGCAATTTTTTTACATTTTTGTTGCTAGAGCCTCCACTGGTGTCCACACTCTCACTTGGCAAGTCAATCTCCATCTGACTTGACTCGTCGTCCTCACTTGCTGCTGGAACTGAGGCTACACCTGGACCTTTAAAAGAACGACATTCAAATTTGAAATATCTGATTTTAAAATGATGTAGAAAATACAGCAAGCTGAATAGTCACGAACGAGTTTACATACATTTGTTTTCAAAAAACTGCTGGAAATACCTTTTTGAGTTTTGGGAAAAACAGAAAACCACATAAGAAATTGCATGCACCAGTGCCTTACAATTTTCTGGGGGATGTGTCATTTTATTGAAACCTTCCAACGTTGGTGGAAAACTTATCTTCCCTCTGTGTCCAAGCAGCTTAATTACTTTTTCCGACAGTTTTGAAAGTAGACCCTGCATCTGCACTAGTAGGCAGGA